CAAGTCAATCTTATCTGGGTCATCAGAGGAAGGGGTGGAAAACAGCCAAGTCAGGCTCTAGTCCCAACTTGCCGAAGCACTCCTCCTGCTGGGAGTACAATATCCATGAACCTGTCACGGCTTTCTAAAGAAACCTCAACTACGTCCTTAGCTGGGTTGTTGTGTACAGTTGAGTGCCACATTATAGGAAAGACGTGGATGCTTTGGAGAGACTGTGGAAGCGATTCACAAGAACGGTTCCAGGAACGAGAAACCTCAGTTTATGAGGACAGATTGAAGAAGCATACAGAAAATAGGAGCAGGAGTAGGCCATTGGGCCTTTCGAGTCCGCTCCCCCACTCAATATGATCACGGCCGATCATCCAGCTCAGTTCCCTGTTCCTGCTTTCTCCCCATACCCTTTGATCCTTTTAGCTCTAAAAAATATATTCAATGCCTTAAAAACAGTGCTTTGGTCTCAACCACTTTCTGTGGCAGAGAATTCCACAGGCTCATTGCTCTCTGGGTGAAGAAATTTCTCCTCATCACAGTCCTACCCTATATCCCAAGATTGTGACCACTGGTTCTGGATTTCCTAGTCATTGGGAAGATCCTTCCTGTGTTTACCCTGTCTCGTCTTTTTAGTATTTTATAGGCTTCAATGAGATTCCCTTCATTTTTCTAAACTCCAGTGAAACCAGTCTCTCTCCATACATCAGTTCTTTCATCAGCAATCAGTTTGGTAAATCTTGCTTGCAGTCCCTCCATAGCCAGAACATCTTCCCTTGGATAAGGAGATCAAAACTGCACACCATACTCCAGGTTCTGAGGAAGGGTCGTTGGACCCGAAACATTAACTGTTTTTTCCTTTACAGATGCTGCCAGACCTGCTGAGCTTTTCCAGCAGCTGTGTTTTTGTTCCAGGTTGGGACTGTTTTCCTTGGACAGAAAGTAGCTGGGAGGAGATCAGATAGACTTTTCGAAATCATGGATACAGTGGATAGAATCATAGAACCCCTAACTGTGTGGAAACAGGCCCTTCAGCCCAACAAGTCCACACCAACCCTCAGAGCATCCCACCCAGACCCATTCCCCTATAACCCACCTAATCTACACATCCCTGAACACTATGGGCAGTTTCCCATGGCCAATCCACCTAGCCTGCACATCTTTGGACTCTAGGAGGAAACTGGAGCACCTGGAGGAAGCCCACGCAGACACGGGGAGAATGTGCAAACTCCACACAGTCGCCCGCAGATAGGGAGAAACAGTTTCTGCTTGTAAAAAGAAAAAAAAATGAAAGTGCCTAGATTTAAAGTGATGTGCAAAAGCAGCAACTGTGATGTAAGAAAAAATGTTTAACAATTAACTGAATGAAAAGGTATGGAAAGCACTGCTGCAAGTTCGACTGAAGCATTCAAGTGGGCATTGAGTGATTATTTGGACAGAAAGAGTGTTCACGGGTATGGGGGGTTGGGAAAGCAGGAGATTGGCACAAGTTAATGATGCTCATTTGAACAGCTGGTATAGGCACAATGGCCCAACTAACCTCCTCCTGCACTGTAACAATTCTGTGAAACAATGAAATGGCCTGGTGAGTGCAAAAAATTACAAAGATGCTTATCCAGTGAGAACAAGTCCAAGAACCCTCATCCTTTCCCTATAAACCTGCACTTTCTTTCAACCAACCGTGAGCAAACAAGTTTGCAGTGGAGAAAAAGATACCACAAAGTGAGAACTCGGAAGATTCTTCATAACGAGTCACGTTGTTAACATTGCCTGAATAATCCAGTCTGACCGCATGTTACAATTGGTGTCGTGCTATGTCTCTTTCAGAGACAAGGTGGGTAAGTATCCATTTAAGAGCTAAGCTCATGACTCCATTATCACTGTATATGTAACCTTTGGGTTACATACTACAATTAAAAATTGCATACACAACCTCAAAGTGGATCACGTGAAGGATGACAAGCTACCAAAAGTGCGCTCTTCCACTGTTGTTACCAAATAGCCTAATCCAAGCTCAGGCACTGTCTGTGAATGTAGTAACTGCACATAACAGCCAACTGTAATAAACATCTGTTGAATCCTTCAATACCAATTTCTTAAGTTATGAGGAATAACAAACTGTCGCATTAGGTAATAGACCTTGTTAGAGGTGAATCAGACATCAATCCACAAAGCCAGCAGGTGAAGCATAATACTAGAACTAATCTTTACTCAGTTTCATACTTAGAATGAAATATTACTAGCACTTGCCTCAACCTAACCAGTTTCAGTATGTGGCTGTTTATACACATTCACTAGCAACTCCAATTCATGGCCTCTACCTGCCCTCAAACACAATTAACGATGAGACAGTGTTAATAGATAGGAATCTCCACCCTTGGCTACAGGTTCTTGTGAATAGTTATGAACTTACCCCACAGACAAACAGGGCCACTGGAATGAAAAGGGTTTAATGGGCAGCTAGGACCAGCAGGCCAGGCAGCATCAGAGGAGCAGGAAAGCTGACGTTTCGCGTCGGGACCCTTCTTCAGAAAATGAATTTCCTGCTCCTCTGATGCTGCCTGGCCTGCTGTGTTCCTCCAGCTCCACACTGTTATCTCAGACTCCAGCATCGGCAGTTCTTACTATCTAGAACCTACGTGAGGCACTCCACTTGTGATCCAGATTAGACTGAATCCCTGCTGTGGGAACAATGGGAGATACAGGTCTGTGCTCCTTCAAAGGCTGCACTATGGACACTCTATGCCAACTGACACCCATCCAACCCTCAACTCTTGTTGTCCATGCCACCACTTCCCTGAATATTGGCACCAAGGGGCACACTGACGCTGTAACCTCACTCAGCTGGGGAGGAAAGCAGTCTAAATCCACTTTTGTCAAAGCACATCTATAAACAGACCAACAGGAAAGGAGAGTTCAATTGTAAAGTAGCCACCCTCTTCCTCAAGAGGTAAGCAATGCCTTCACAAAGAGGTGTTTGATACAAGATTCACCTTCTCGATGCCTCCTCCCTCCATCCTTCCCCAATGCTGCTATATTCACAAATGATGTATTCAAGAATTTAGGAGAGAGACAGGGCCCTGGCTCCCTCCCTATTTAGGAAGCGAGTTTGCAAAGCCGTTGTCAAAACAGTGGTCTACAGATGATGGATGAACGAAGAAGCAGTGCAAAGAGACCTCAATCTGGGTCATCCAATGGAAGACTATGGGCTGCTCATTTTCAGCAGATCACAGCTCGGCACAACAAGGTTTTCGTGCAGCTTCCAAAATGCTTAAAAGGAAATCGAATTGGGGGAAAGGCTGCACTGAACGGAGGAACGTGCAATTTGTCAGGAGCCAACATACACAGGGTCTGGCTAAAGAACAAATTGGTGCCATGAGCTTTAAACGCCACCTAGAGGCAAACTGCGAAGCTAGCAATGATTTTCAGGACAGATCTTTCACTACTTTGTCTCCAGATAGGACAGGGAGCTCGAGAATGTGGGAAAAGAAAGAAGGTTGGCGGGAGTGGGGAGGGGGGCGCTCAGTAAACAGGAGAGGTCTTTGACCATTCCTTCCCCATCCCAGTGCAATGACATGCTGACCATCCTTGAGGTCAGATAATTCAACAGCGACTAAGGACCGAACACAGAATCTGACGGTGAGGAGAAATATTGGACGCTGCACTCAACATAGAATCCCTCCAGTGTGGACGCAGGCCAGTCAGCCCATTGAGACCATGCCGACCCTCCAAACAGCATTCCACCCAACCCCACCCCCAACATCCCTGTTGCCTGTGTTTCCCAATGGCTAAACCACTTAGCTTGCACATCCCTGGGAACTATGGCTATGCTAAATTACCCAATCTACCTAACCTGCACATCTTGGACTGTGGGAGGAAACCGGAGCACCTGGAGGAAACCCACGCAGACACAGGGAGAATGTGCAAACTCCACACTGAAAGCTGTCCAATGGTGGAATTGAACCCGGGTCCCCGGTGCTGTGAGGCAGCAGCGCTAACAGCTGAGCCACTGTGCCTCCCATAACACAAACTCACAGTGGACGTGGCTATTCAGCCCCTCAAATCCTTCTATTCAGTTCAATCCCTCACCTGTCTGCATTCCCTATCTCTTGATACAGCAGGAATCAATCAATCAATCTCAGTCTTGAGGATGTTAACTGTGTCAGTGACAATGTGTTACACTTCATTGTCTGGGCTACTTTCCCATGCATGTCATAGTCAGGAGCTATGGGTGATGGCAGGGATGCCAACATTTCTTCCATCTCTCAGCTGAGTAGGATTCTCTCCCACCACAGGGTTGCGTTGGAAAGTT